TCTTAAAATCATAATACAAATATTTGTGCTGTAGCAGTCCTCCACTTTGCACTGTAACAATAAGGCTTACTGTACTTTAAATACAAAGCTGTTACATCTGCAGTTATGAACCACTGGCTTTAACAAACATCATTTTATAATTGCTTTTTGTTTCTTTTTTGTTTTCTGGAACCTCAGCTTCCTCATGTTTTCCAGCAGTGTGTAGCTCTTCTGCAGATTCCTCTTGCTCAGACTCGGAGCCACTTTCAGAATCCTCTGAACTCTCATGGTCAGAGGAGTCTCCAACTCCCTCTTCTTGGTCATCACCATCCTGAAACTAGAAATTCAGATTATGAGATAGATAAACCATTAGGTACTGGCAACCCCTTTTAGTGTCCAGTGAGAATGTTCTGCTTAATGGCTTTCATTTTAATATTTAAGTGGGATGTGTTGTTAAACACAGATGTTTGTCAAATTATCAGACGGAAAACAACTCTAGTGAGGTGTTCAGCAGTATTAGATAAAACATCCATGGATTCTTCAGGCACATCTTCATTCAGTTGCAACAGAAACCCTGAAGATACCATTAAATGAATTTGAAGAGTTTCAGAATCCATCAGTTCACTAATTCTTTACTTTGGCTGCCTTGATCATGGCATGTCACTTTGACTATCTGTCAGTGAAACGTACTGAAGCTAAGTGCCAAGATCTTCGAAAATTCATATTCACTACTAATCTTTGGAAATAAGTTTAGCATATAACATTACAATGTTGTGGTTGGAATGCTGGAGAGTCATCCAGTGATGTTGCTGCCAACAAGGACAGCCCTGACATGGACTTTTGTTCATGCCCCTAAAGAACAAAGCCTCTCTGTTCATAATACTGTGAATTCTTGGCACTACACAGTTTCTTTTACTCCACTGGGAAACATTTTGCTGATATTCTTTACAGTAGTTAGTGCTAAGTTAGAAAAAAATTGTTAGTTCACCTTTCCACTTGCAGATGAAGTAGCCTCCTAATAACCTCTTTCGTTTACCCTCACGCTTCTCTTTCTGTTTGTCCACCTATACCTTGTAGCTATATGACCAGTCAGGTGGCAACTTAATGAACAACTCCAGCTCTTTGTACAGCAAATTTCCCTGCTCTGTCTCCTCTATTGCTGTGGAAAGTACAAGCTAAAACAGATTAATTAGCTCTCAGTAACAGTGTAGGTGGTCACCTTACCTTCCCATGTATTCCCTGTCAAGAGCCTGATTTAATAGATTAGTCACTTTCTGTCCTAATCTGTCTTGACTACTATGCAGCATTATGCATGTCATATCACTTCTCTGAACAATGAGAAACATTAACCATTCAGGACATTTAAATAGTTACCACAATGTACACAAACAAATCAAATGAATGCAGCACGTTTGTGCCTTAACCCAAATTGCCTAAGTTTGCTACTACTCATCGTCATTAAACATTCAAGCCATGTATCATCTAGTGAAGCACAGGAGAAATCATTAAGTGGCTAAACAACTTAGTACCTCACTGAAACCCAGTCCACAGTGGCGCCGGTTCCGCCCAGACATCGTGCTGTCCATGCTTTGCTGGTACTGAGACTCTAGTTCTTCATTCATTTTCTTGTCTTCTTCCCCTGCATGTCCAGGGTACTTTGGTTATGGTTCATTCAAATCAACAAAGATATCCAATTATACAAAGCCACCAGACTTTCAAAGTTCATTGCTATATATGTAAAAGAGTTTAAATTTAGCCTGCTGGGCAACTATAGAGTTGACTACTGTAATTATATACAAATCACCAGGTTTATAGGCAAAGGGTGCCAGTAAAGTTGCTCTAATAAAAAGATGGGACAGCATGTTACTAAGACCTGACACAATCAGACAGAAGTACTATGCATGGTGTATTTTTCTACTTAACAAGCAAAAGCTCAATATTACAACTTTTCTGTGCTTCCTGCTAATGCTGACTTGTCACAGCAAAGAGAAAGCTTCTGACTTTTACTGTACAGCGCATGCTCTAAAGCATCATTAGCAGCAGCTGTCAGGACAATATTGGTGCTCTTGTTTTAGAGCTGTATCTGAGACTATTTTACGCATCTCGAATTTTCAGGAAGAGAAGCTACAGCTCTTTACTTTTGTCTTTCTTTAGACACTAGCAAGAAAACTAATTTCCATGTCTAGTTAGTACAACACCAGCTAACCTAACAGGCCTTCTGGTGCTACTTATGTCAGTAAGCAAATAAAGGAGCGTTATTTTTAATGGTCTTAGAAGAGCTGAGATTTTCCTGACCTTGTCTAAGGTAGGAATCTCCACTTTTTCCCCTGCAGGCTTACAACACTAACTTCTAATTTGCACCTTTGTAAAATGAAACTTTGTATTGAAAATTCATGTTTGTTCAATGGAAATCAGAGTTGTGTGTTATGATAGAAGGACAAAGACATATTGGAAAAAAAAAGGAAAACATTAAGAAAACAATTGCTGTGGTAGTCTGTTGCTGAAAAAGCAGCATCTTGACCTTTTACTAGTACAGCAGTACAGAACACTTACGACTCTTTAGGGAAAACGTCGCCTTTCTAGAAAACTCACAGGGACACAGGGAAATGATTCTGAATCACTCAGAAGCTGACAGAACCTGGAACTGATCCTCAGGCTTCGCTGGGGTTTTGCTCTGGTAGATTTTTGTTTCTTTGTTTTGAT